AGCTATGGCGGCAGTCTTCTTCCTCAGACGAGCTATGGCGGCAGTCTTCTTCCTCAGACGAGCTATGGCGGCAGTCTTCTTCCTCAGACGAGCTAGGGCTGGTGCTGGTTGGATGCTTGGTGCTGCCCTCTCGCATGCTAGCACTGGCTTGACCTGACCTAGCACTCCGGCACCCTGGCAGCAGCCTGGAGGTTTCGTACCGTCTCCACCCGAAAATAACGCCTTGGCATTATATTCAACTTACCCTAAAAAGATGAAATTTTTGTTTTTACTCACGTTTTTTCAAATAGAACGCCCGGCCGTTATATTCAAATAGAACACCCGGACGTTATATTCGAATAGAACCCCTGTGAGTTTTATTCGAATAGAACGCCCGGGCGTTATATTTGAATGTTCCGTGGGCAGAGTGCCTTGAAGAGGTAGTATAAATGGGTTTTAAAGGGCGGGGAAGGGGGTATGCATGGGTTTTGAAGAGGGTTGAATGGGGTTTTGACTTCCAAGGGGTTTATTTGGGCTTGATTTTTTGTTTTTATTTTTTATTTCCGAGTTTATAAGGAATTCTGAAGTGACCTTCAGCCAAAAGTTGGTCGCATTACAATCCTGGACAACATATTTTTTCCAACATAAATTTTTGATTTTATTTTTTTCGGAATTTTTCTGGTCCTCACCGAAGTTATCGCAAATTTACTGAATATAACGCCCTGGCGTTATAAACGAATATAATGCCCGGCGGGCGTTATATTCGTACACAACGCCCGGGCGTTATTTTCGGCTGAAGACGGTAGTGCGCATATGCGCATGATCATATTGTGCAGTTTTAAGGAGGGGAATATGATGGTTATCGTGTGCCATGCAGCTAGCAGGAAGTACCATCCAGGTTTTTGGTGGCGTGTGTCCAATTTTGCTCACTAGGTTGAAATCTGAAAAGATGATGATGAAAATTGGTTCTGTGCAGCATGGCGCATAGCTGTCGGTCAAAGGAATCACTTTTCTTTTTCTTTGTGGGGGGGGAGGGGTGGTTCGGTGAAGTAAGGGTGAACATGACTGTGAAATTGTGCTTAATAACCATGGGTTATTGGGTTATTGGTTAAACCTCACATAACCCAGAGTTGTGGCTTTGCCAGTATACGGTGTAAGACTGCTTCGCTTCGGGCCTGGGCTGGTAGTGAAAGCGGCAGGGTAATTTGAAAAGGCGCAGTCGCAGGCTCACCAGCCTCAGAAGGTGGCTTCATCAACTTAGGTTCGTGTGAATTGGCAGTTTAAAGCACACGTCGTGAATATGATGATCATATTGTGCTTTGAGGTGGTTTTTTTTTTTTTTTGTGTGTGTGTGTGTAAGCTTAATGATTTAACGGCATGCACAGTTATGGGTGTGTTGCGTTGTGCCATTGGGCTAGCAGCCTGGTGGTACAGGAAACCCTGGATTTTGAATTTCGCACCCTGCAGAGTCTCAGTTGAGCCCAAAATGGAAAACTTGAAGACTTGTGAAGTGAAGTGTTCTGAAGTTTCTATTTTTGAGTTCACCACTCAGCCTCATAATGGAAATTTGGAAAATAAAAAATATTTGAATTTCTCATCAAAGATTGAGGGTGCCATGTGTTCCTGAATTGTGGATGTGTTTCTGAATGCTGGACCTGTTGATGAACAACGGAATGATTGTGTGGTGCAGGTTCAAGGTTCAGAGTCATGCTGGATCTACCTGATCGGCTTTCAGACGTTGCGGTAAGATGGCAGCGAACCGTCTGTCGAGTGGTGCTCTCTGTCCCCCCGTCCTTGGATTATAATTTACTATTTAGAATGCTTATTATTATTTGACTCGTTGGTCAATCGCTCAGTCAGTTGGTCGCTCGGTCGGTCACTTGGGCCATCTCTTGGTTGGTTGCTCGGTCGATCACGGGTTTGGTTGCTTGGTTGGTTACTCGGTCAGTCGGTCCGTTGCTCGGGCTCTCGGTCGCTCGCTCTCTCGGTTGCGCGGTTGCTCGCGTGGTCCTTCGCTGTCCCGGTCAGTGGGCCAGTTCCTTGCTTGCTTGGTCGTTTGGTCTTTTGATCTTTTTCTTGCTCTCCCTCTTTAGATCCTTAGGTCCTTTGGTGCACTCTCCTGCTCCTGTCTCTTATACACATCTAGATGTGTATAAGAGACAGGTCCTTCGCTGTCCCGGTCAGTGGGCCAGTTCCTTGCTTGCTTGGTCGTTTGGTCTTTTGATCTTTTTCTTGCTCTCCCTCTTTAGATCCTTAGGTCCTTTGGTGCACTCTCCTGCTCTCGCTCATTTGCTCTCCCTTCGCTCGCTCCATCAGTGCAGTTTCGCTCACGGTCAGATATTAATGATTTGAGCCTTTTGGTATTTGTCAAATGAAAAAGAAGAAAGAAGGAGGTGAACAATAAGGTGGTTGCGTCCAGTGAGAAGAATTAGGTACGATCACACCCATCTGAGACACAATATTGGCAGGGATGCTAGGGGGGCATTATTGGGTGCGTAAATGAAGCTGCATTGCTTGCCTGTTCTCTTGTAGTGACTGTGTGGATGGCAGCAGTCGATACAAAAGAGGACTTCAACTCCAGAAATACAGATTGGCGTATGGGCCCCTCATTTGGAGCAAATCAAAATGAGATTCAACAGAGGAAAGCGGAAGTTGGAAATTGAAATAACACTTTGCCACTTGCAGAATGTTGCCCGCCGCCGCAAGAATAGTTTGAAAAAAGAAGCTTTGAATCCTTTGAGTTCTTAAGAATAATTTGAAAAAAAAAAGCTTTGATTTGTCGAGTCCTTAAATAGCATGTAGTAAGTGTCATGAACTCTAAAACTGTCGAGAAACAGAATCAACTGATCAATGCGTTTTTTTCATTTTTTTTAATAACGCAGCATCCCCACCTTGCGAATATGTTGTGCTGTACCTAAAGCTTTCAGTGATAAGTTTTTCGAAGTGTTATCCAGGTTCATCAGCAGCAGGTTCCCAGTGCAAACTACATTCCGATGTACCTGGATGACTCTGTTCCTTCAGTTGGTCCAGATCTGTGGACTCCTTCCAGATGTAGATGTGGACCTTTCTAGTCTAGTCTGGTCTGATCGGTTGTCCTGGTCTGCCTTTGCTATGGTTTTCGTCCTTTTTTGGTCCTTTTTTGGTCCTTCTTTTTGGTTCTTTTTTGGTCCTTTTTTGGTCTTTTTTTGGCCCTTTTCCGGTCCCTTTTTCGGTCCTTTTTCGGTCCTTTTTTCCAGAAAACCATAGCGAAGCTAGAGTGAGACCACAGACGAGACCGGACCAGGTCCAAGTCTAGATCTGGAAGAAGGTTCCAACGAAAGGAGGAAGACAGTTGATGTTTGCACATTTACGGCTTATCGTTGGTACCAGCGTTGTTAGGACTGTTGATTGCCAAAGTTTTTGGGACCGATGATTGCCGAAGTTTTGAAGAATGGATCTGTAGCGGTAATTTCAGAAAGGGAGGTCTTTGCTATGGTGATCATGCATGGTCTGTACTGTCACCTTCAGAATCTCCAGAGTCTGTACTGTACAGCAAAAACCTGGCTCCATGCATATACTCCCCACTCGTGTTTTCGAGGTTGACCTTCTCTCTTTCCCTCGATTAATAGTCCTGGGAGGTGAAAAGTGAGGTGAAGTCACCTCACTTCACCACATATATTCTTTTGTCTTGTTTTTAAAAATAATTTTTACCATTTGTTGCGCAAAGTGCACCTTTTTAGTTCATAGATATATCATATATGCCAATGTAATATATATTCATTCGGGTGGCGACCCGGACCACTGTTCGCACGTTTGTGCCTATATTCTACATGCTCCTAGCCACTACACCGCTCTTGTCCATGCCTCTGGTTCTTGGGAATTATGGAATGGCGGTGCTATGGTGCAAACTATTACTGCCATCTGTGATCTCGTGAGTGATTACCCTAACCTGCAACTGTTCCAGGTCATTGACCCTATGGGTACCTCGTGTACTTCCATGCCCGCCTCTACGCCTATCTCTGTGCCTGCCTCCGTACCTGTCTCTGTGCCTGTTTCTGTGTCTGTCTCCTTCCAGTTTACTGACTCTATTGGTACCACGTGTACTTCCGTCCCCGCCTCTGCACCTGTCTCTGTGCCTGCCTCCACACCTGTCTCCATGCCCGCTTCTGTGTCTGTCTCCGTGCCTACCTCCATGTCTGTCACCGTGCCTGCTTTAGTCTTCATTCCCCCACATGCTGGACTAACACCTTGTGACCTCCTTCTTTGTGAGATCATTGACACAGTTACACTTGGTTGTGGAAAGCATCGACTTTGTCGACATCACTACAACCGTATAATTTTTCGGGCCCGCTGTCGGCAGGGATGCCACCTGTATCCAGATTGTGAACATCCTCTACATCCAGATGCAGTATGTCCCATCTGTGCCTGCGGGCGCTATAGCAAATGTGCACTTATCTTCACCGAGGAATGGAAAAAATTGCTGACTGTGATGGTGAACGCCCCACAATCGTCATGGCCTGCAACCGGCGTGCACTCTGTCGTGCATGCTTCAGGGGTATGGTTAATGCTAGCCGCCCTGGCTCCTGCTGTGAGGAAGTTGCTTACCTGAATGGTTTTCGTCCTGTAGATCAGCGGGAGGGCTGCTACCATCGCCCGCATCCTTATGACAGTTGTCCTATCTGTCGTGAGGGTCTTACTTAGACATACCTTGCACCCTGACAAAAATGTGCAGGTGCGCTGAAAAGAGTGTACAAGAATGTGCAAAGGTGGGGGACCCTTCACTAAAACTGCAAAACTGTGAAGAATGCAGTAAAAGAAGAACATAAGTTTGTGTCATCTTACTTTGTTTGTACCCTGCACCCTAACACCCTCAAAAGAAAAGTCCGAAGGGTGAAAATGAAGATGAAAAATGAAGAAGGAAGTGCAGGTGCGCTGAAAAGCGAACGTGGTAGACTCTTCACCAAAACTGCAAAACTGTGAAAGAAAGAAGAATGCAGTGAAAGAAAGAAGATGTTTGGGTCACTTTTTTCACTTTTTCTCCCTCTGCCTATCGGTTTTCCTTTCTTGTGTTTAACACCTCTTCCTTCACTCTGCCTCTTTCCCATAGCGTGCAAGTGGGCTGTTATGGCATACGGGGATGGGGGCAGCGCGCGCTCAACTTCATCAATGTGGCGAGCCTTGTACGTTATAGGCATAGTGGAGGAGGCGTTAAGAAGACTGAGAAATTGAATGATCTCAATGTGTCTTTGTGTTTTATTTTTATCCTTTGATTCAGTGTATTTTTTTTGTAGAACACTGAAAGAAATAATAATACTGTGAAACAAAGAATAAGAGGACACTGTTTTGTGTCATTCTGGTTTGTCTGTCTCTTTGCCTGTCTGTCCTTTCATTTTTCTTTTCATCGCTCATCTTATTTCTTGTTCTACTTCACGTGCTTACACTCTTAGTCAATAGTTCTGAGACAATATATTCATTTGCTTTGCGCTTATGCTGTGTAAGGAGGATTGCTGGCCGGGATTAGAATGAGGCTGTACTCACACTGGAACTTTTACTAAAAGTATCTGACTGCAATTAGGGCCAGAACCTGCATGAATCTGACTGCAATTACGTCCAGAGCTTAATAGAAAAAGTCCTCGTGCAAGTGTGCACTGATAGTGGCGACTTTATCCATGATCATTATCCACTATATATTATACAATATTAAATGAATTTATATCATCATCATATTATTAATTTCTTGTGCTGTGGCTTGAAGATTGAAATTTGGAAGCGAAACGTTGCATGGTTTTGCAGGTGGGAGAGAAGCTTCTCAGAGACTACGTGTTTGTGCATTTGACTCGGCCTGTCGACAAGTTCAATCTCTTGATGTGAGTGCCTACGCACTTGTTAGCCTCTCAAGTGATCACAAAAAAATAGGGGGGGGGATAAAAAATCTGTGACTGCTGTCCTTCGGGACATCCGTTAGAAGAATTGGAACGATACAGAGAAGTTTGGCATGGGCCCTGCACGAGGATGATGCACATAAATCGAGAAATGGTCCATTTTTTTTTTTTTTTAATAAGAATAACAAGTCTCTAACTGCTGTCGGCGCTGTGAACTCCTCCGGTGCCTGCCTACTCATGTCATGTGACGTGTGTAATCATGTCATGATCTTGTCTTCTTGAGATGTGCTGCATAATTCCTGTTGCAGCGCGTGTGAACCTGCCCGGGTTAACTTTCTGGGAGTGAGTTAGCACGTTTCTGGCACCAAGGCACTTTTGTGAGATTCTTTCGATTTCGCTATCATCTTCATATTGGGAATGACGACATCGTTTTTCGAGGATTGAACTTGGACACAGCTCTGGTCAGGTTCACTGACCTGATTAGCGTAGTTGTAACATGAGCGGAGGTGATTGTGGGCACGATAGAACGAACGCGCATGGCGGACCACGGGGTGTTGTGGACTGAGCGGCGGTGTGCTTCTTGTGCTATCTTTATCCTTCATTCTTTTACACCTGTGTTCGTGTGTAATCCTGTCATGTGACGTGTGTAATCATGTCATGATCTTGCCTTCTTGAGATGTTCTGCATAATACCTGCCTACTCGTTGTTTGCTTCTTAGCAGTGATTAAAAAAAATAAAAAAAATTCAAACCTTTGGTTGTTTTGGGCCACCCACCACAGCCAACACAGTAAAAGCATCGTGGAAGACGGACAGCGCAGGTACAAAGTACGAATATAATAATAATGATTATTAAAAGGAAAAAAAAGGAAAAGAGTGTACAATGTACATAACCATAAAATGATTATTAAAATCCTAGCGCAGAACCAACCCTCTCTTAAACCGTGAGTAGACGGCCCCGGGCAACATGCTCTCATCCTGAAATGGGATTCTCGACTGTCAGGCAATGTCAAAAGTCTCATTGTTGATCACTCCTAAAGATTCGGAGGCTTGGGGCTTGCAGCTCAAGCCAAAAAAGAGAAGAAAAAGAAGGAAAAAAAAACGCTGCTGCGGGTTCAGCAAAGCTCGACATGCAGTGCAAGTCTGCCTGGCTCGGGTGTATCGGCGGTTTGACAAGGTGCGCGATAGGTCCCGGGAGGCAAAGGCAGGCATCACTGGTGCAGTCATCGATCGTACCTGTTTTCAAAAATTCAATTCTTTATTATCTGTGCGAAAAGAAAAGCATTATAATAATTTAAATTTTAAATTGCATTTTGAAAACTTCTCAGATTGCATAGGTGCTTGCATATCTGCTCGGCAGATTTCTGATGATACGCCTGCATTGTTTTTTTTTTTCTTTCTGGGAAGACAGTATTGGGCTTTATTCATCTCTCTCTCTCTCTCTCTTTCTCTCTCTTTTCTCTTTTGTGTCTCTTAGAGAAAGGGTGGAAGTTTTGCGAAACACTCGCAAAAACTATTGAAAAAATGGGAAAAGAAATGCTGTGAAAAAAACTTCCCATTGACATTATTGTAGTATGCAGCAGGGTTTGGACTGGCAATCTGTTTATCGTGTTTATCAACAGGGCACTTTGATGTTCCACTCAGCCATGCGACTGGGGTGCTTTTTTTTTTTGTTTCCTTTTCTTTTTTTTGTTACACACGTCGTTGCTGGAATCAGTAAGTCTCTTCGCTGGACTCAGTGAGTGAATTTCAGTGAAAGGAAACGAAAGACAAGGACTCTCCTCTCCCAGAGAGCGTTTTGAGCTCTTGATATGCTCTATCCCCCACTTTTTTTTGTTTTTCGGGGGGAGGGAGGGGGAGGAGCTCTATCCAATGGCCTTTCGCTAGGTTGTTTTTGCTTTTTCGTTTTTTTTTTTTTTTTGTATAAGTTTGAGAGGAGGTAGGCACTACCAATACGGTATTATCTCTGAGGGGTTGAATTTGAACTCAGGCGGATTAGTTGTCCACCGGTTTTATGTGTTTATTGTTCAGGCACTACCGTCTTCCTTGGGAGTAGAATGCAACGCTCATTATTCGTGTATCTAGGCTGAACGTTGCCTCAAATACATCTATCTTCGGGGAAAGACACCTCGGGCCACCTGATTGCAGGGCAGTGTGGTCGGTTTTTTAAACTTTTTTTTTTTTTTTTTTTTTTGTTGTTGTTGTTCCAGGTCGCCGCTTCTTCCCCCTATTTGTTTGGATTGTCAAACTGCTGTGCATTTGATCATCTTGTGGTCGTTTTTGTGGTCAGATACATGATCGTGAAGCTCTTTGCTCTCGTTGACGGAATGATTATGGAGGACAATCCCGATTCTCTGCAGCACCAGGAACTACTTTTACCGGGCCACCTGCTCTCGTCGTTCACAAAGGTCAGTTTTCAGTACCATTAAATGACAATAGTCAGATGACTCAGATCTAATTTACACAATTATACTATCTCTAGATTCTCTACTAAATTACATAATATAATATGATAATAATAAATTAATCATCTTTACAAGATGGTAGTCAAATCTTTACACAATGATCGTCGTTGCACGATGGTACTCAATCTGTACAGGATGGTTCTGGTGAGGAAGTCAATTTCCTTTCTTTTTCAAAAAGGGCTATGGGCTTGAGATTTCATCGTGAAGGTGTCCGGCCCCAGGTGAATCAGGAATTCAGTTCATCTAGTTCGGTCTGGATCCGAACTCAGGTCTGTATTTCAACAGTTTATAGGTGTAGCAAATGAGCTCCGCCCGCTGGTAGAAGAGGTCGATTTGGACGAGGGAAGAGGGGAAAACAACGCTCAACCTGTCAATTTGCATCGAGCAAAGGCCTCTTAGCTCTGCATCAGTTCAGGACGACAAGCGGTAATTGATTCAACCTCATCATTCATTCGTATAATGGACTATATATAGGTCAAAATGGAGGGGGTGGGTGGGAAGGGACAGTCTACGACAGCTGCGGTTTGAGTTTGAATCCCTGTGAGTGGCATGGTCTTGTCTATTGGGATATGTCCGTTAAAACAGGGCAGATACAGTTAAAGATTAGCATGGGCCTTGGGCAAGGATGTCACACAGAGAATCAAGAAATGGTGGAAATCACACATTATCACAGTGAATAACCCTTCGGAACGCATTGATTAAGATTTATGGCCAGTCACTTTGTGTGAACTGACATGTTTGCTGGGGGGGAAATAGATAGACACACGCACACACACACGCACACACACACACACACACACACACACACACAGAGAGAGAGAGAGAAAGAGAGAGGCAGGACTGCTGTCTCTTCGTGATTGAACTACAGAGTTGTACTTCCTTCAGGCTGCTCATTGGTTAGGCTACATCATGTTGGCAGCATTGAGGGAACAAGTGGCACTTGTTGATAGGCTAGTTGTAACGAGCGTGAGGCTGAGGGTGAGCCGAGGGAGAGGAGAGAGAGGGAGAGAGTGAGAGCACACACACACACTCACTCACTCGACACGACTGACTCGGACTGAGGATCRGACGCAGACACAGTGGCAAGGCACAAAGTCGAAGTCTTGGATTCCGAATGCCGAAAAAGCAAGTCACACTGAGTACGAGTACAGCAGCAGGGAACTGGTACGAGACCGGGCCCCGTACCGTACGGGGAGCCGGTATAAGTACCGGTGACACGTACGGTTCTAGGGGCATTTCTGCAAAGGCCCCGAGGGCAGAACTGAAAAATGCAGTATTTGAAAGTGGCGCCCGAATTGCAGCATGGCGCCAGTTGTCCAAAATCCTACGGTACCAAAGGAGGGGTTTGGAAAAAGGGTGCCAGGCCGAAAACGGGATGCAGCTGAAACAGCAAAAGGTAGACCAGGGATCGAGCCCTGGCGGAGTCCGTAACACTAGTATTACTGTATTACCCTATACGATGAAATCACACCACACAAGCTTCTCCCTGTGAGGACAATCTGGTTTTGCGTTGGAAGTTGTAACTCTATTATGGTAATTTCAACTTGTTCATTTGATGATGGTTGAATGAAAGGGGGATGAATTTCTTCTTCGTCAGACTTTGTATCTTGTATCCTGTCAAGGTTTCATGCTTATGTGATCATCATCATTCCTTTGTCGTTTCGTTTTTGCTCGTTGCCGTGTGTCGATCAGTCAATCTTGTTCGATGAGAGATCATAGTTAGTGCACATCATGTGGCGGTTTTGGCGGGGCTTTTCGACAACACCCTCCCCACCCATCCACTGTACTGGGTGCAAACTGTAAACTACCGTCTTCACCCAAATACAGTGGGCCTACCTTCTTCCCCCCGAGTACAAGGCACGGTCATTATAGCTGTATTTGAGGCATCTTTCAGTCTAAATAGAGCTATAATGACCGTGTGTTGTATTCGGGGGAAGAAGGTAGCTCAGTTGGTACACCCAATGAACTTTTGAAACGCAGACCCAAGCTCGAATCCAGCCGCAATGAGATGAACTGAACGCCAGTCCAGTCAGCTCAATGACGATATCCCAAGGCCGTAAATAAAAGGGAAAACGACAATGCCGGGTGAGTGTAGCGGAGGTCGGGCCAACTTTCAGTCTATTAGATGTCGGCGATAACGGCGGGCGATAACGGCGGGCGTTCTATACGGTTGAAGACGGTATAATAGTTGGAAACCTGAGAGTTTGAGATTGTCTTTACTTCCTGCCCTGTTTCGTCATGAATGCGTTTACAGGAAAAACTGGCGGAATGGTTGTCGCGGACACGCGAACTCATCCTAAGGGAACTGAAGGACAAGCCTACATCAGTGCACTTGGATGACAGTAAGTGTTGTCATACCAAACCCTCCTGATGCTAAGTGGTACCAACTTGCCATGCAAAGAAGAAGAAGAATAATGCCCAGTCTCCCCAGAGGAAATTTTCTTCTTTGGACCACCGTCTCTGCATCGCTTTTGAAGTTTTGAGTCTTTTTCTTTCCCCAAACCACCGTAGAGTCGGCGTGTAGGCATTCAGAGAAATTTCGGACGGATACAGTGATGTTATGGGCGGCCGCTTATCGGAAAAGACAAGAAAAAAATTGAAAAAATGTAAATCACCGGGCAATGGTCAGATGTTTTCTAAACTTGTTTCAAGTTCTTCAATTTTCTTTGCCCCTTATAACCCACCCAACCCCTCCTCCCCTCCTCCCCTCTTCCCCTTTCCCCCGTCACCTCCTCCCCTGCATGCATGCTGTCTGGCCCTGAACGAGTTTTCAAAGCACAATCCTTTCCTTTTTCTGCTGATAATCATGAAATCGAGTCTTTGACGCCAAGGTGATAAATTGTAAGTCGAAAAAAGGGGAATTCAAAACTGCTACCTTGTTCCCCCGAATAGAAGGAACAGTCATTATCGCTGCATCTGGACTGAATCTTGTCCCAAATACAGCTATAGTGACCGTACGTCCTATTTGGGGGAAGACGGTGGAAAGCCGGTTACACACAGACTGCGGGATGTGTGCCATCACAGTTATGCAGAGAAATGCCGGACGGCGCAGCTAGCTTACCATTCTTTGTCTCAATATAACGTATGTACGGTCATTGTACCGGTACTCGGGGCAACTTTCAGTCTCGATACAGCGATAAAAACCCTGCGCGTTCTATGCAAGACAACAACATACACTGTGTTTCTGTAGCGCATTATAATCTGACATGGACCCCAAATTTTCTAAACCCTTCTCTCTTAAGGGGGTAGCGGGTCGGGTAGCCCTTAAACAGCATTGGTATCCAACTGATTATGATAAGATCCAAATTTCGAAATGAGGATCTGCTGACTGACATTCAAAAGCCATGTGGCTGAATGGCACACCTATTGAAACTTTTGATACATAGGCCTCAGTTCTAATCCTGATGGAATCAAATGCGTAAAAACAACTCTGAATTACGGTTCAATTACCTGGGACTGGTCAGTTTGACAATGGTACCTGAACGCTGTTGCCCTTAGATTGAAAAATGTTCAAAAAACAAACAAACAAACAAACGAACCGAAAAAAAAAACCTAAATTACTGTTCAGGCACATGGAATAGAGAATGAATGCTCTTGCATCATAAATGCACTCGCATTATCACACAGCAAACACGACACAATCACAAAAGACTCGTTGAAGAAACAGCTGCCGTATCACTTCTTTGATGGAAAAAATTCATCGTCAACTCCTAGGAAAATTCATCGTCGAAAAAACAGCTTCCATATTACTGTTCAGGCACATGGGCTGCTTTTTGACACCAAACCCTCTTCAACAAGGTAAGGAAAAACTTTCTGTTCGTTTTCTGATTCGTTCAGCTCACACAGTGCCAGAATGAGATTTTCTATTTTGTATTTGACTAGGCTACCAGAGTGGCCCGGGACCACTTGTCCAGCCAGGCCAAAAAAAGATCAATATATATATGAAACTCCGACGAAACAGTTTGTCACAGCCCCTCGTTTGTTGTCCTCTTCTCTCTCTCTGCCTACGGTTTACCGCGCAGTTCTGTTTGTGACGATATATATATACTACCCCTTAAGCAGCATTGGCCGCGGGGGGGAGGTCGATGGTCCGCTGCGCGCCGGATTTGGGGTCGAAGTTTTGAGGAGGGCCGGCGGATGAAGACGATCCAGGGCGGGGGAGTGTGCAGAGGGGCTCGCGTACCAAAATGTTCACAGCACGCCATTAAATGAGTGAGCGTGCCCACGGGGCCGGGCGGCGGCGGGCGTAGATGTGAGGGAATATCTTGAAGCTGCTGCCGTCAATAAGCAGGCGGGCTTTTTTTCTTTTAGCATTTTCGTTTTTGGCCTGTCGTTTCCCGCTTTTCGTTTTTGCTTTTCTTTTTGTTTCGTGGTCGGCGTGTCGTTCCTCTTTTTTTTTTCGTATTTTTCCCGCCTTTTGTTTTTTCTTTTCTTTTTGTTTCCTGCTGGGTGTGTCGTTTTGTCGTTTCGTTTTTTCTTTTCTTTTTGTTTCCCGGTGGGTGTGTCGTTTCCCGGTGGGCATGTCGTTTCCTGCTTTTTGGTTGCGGGCGTAGGCCGCACCTCCTGCACCGCGGGCGCTACGCTAGTATATATATATTAATCTGGTAAAGAATTTCGATGTGACCCTGAGGCAGAAGTTGTTCAGTTTATGCTTACCTAAGAATTGCAGAAATATATCAAATACCTAGGCTACCAGCCGGGGTACCCGGGTCACTTTTGTTTTCGTTTGTCTTTTTTTTTTTTTTTTTTTTTTTGGCTGGGACCTTCCCTGGTCTTTGCACGGCCGGGCCGCCCGGGAAAATAAGATGACCCGGGCACCCTGGCTGGTAGCCTAGGTATTTGATATATTTCTGCAATTCTTAGGTTAACATAGCGCGTAAAATTAGGAGGGGTTCCTGCAATAGGTCTCGTCTTTGTTTCATTATCTGGTTTTACGGAACTTTTACCTTTTATTAACACTTCATAAGTATATGTTAGCTTCATATGTATGAAGCCCAACTTTTAGGCGCCATTCATAAAAAAAACTTTTTGACTACTTGTGGCGGACTGTTTTGATCGCCTCACGTGCCATTTGCGCATTGCCTTGGTTTTCCACCCCTCAGCCTTTTCTGACATGGAGGAGCCATCGTCGGATCCTCATCATCTCTGCAAACTGGCAGATATGGAATCGGCGACTGTGCAATTGCGCTTTGTTTTTTTTTTATACTTTTTTTTAATTCTTAAAGGGCGATAGATATCATCTTCAAAAGTTCACATTTCAAACCGACCGGCCGCATGTAAATTCGAGAGTTATATACTCGTCTGAGCTGATTGGGATTTGAGCTCAGGTGGTCTGTTGTTCAGCAGTTCACGGGTGTGTACCAACTGAGCCAGGCAAGCCCGTTGGGCACTGCTAACAACTTCACCAATTATTGCTTTGGATCGAGTTTGATGGGGGATTGATTTGATCGCCTTCGTATTTTTCAATACAAAGAGAGAGGCTGTGTTTGTCGTCATCTATCTATGTTTTTTTAATGCAAACTTGTGTGGAGTCTGTGGACCATTCAGGCACCTGGACAGCAACTGGAACACATTCATCGCGTTTAAAAGGGCCTTTTACCCGATACAGGCCTCATGAAAGTAAAGCAGCGTGAAAGGGTATCTCGCCAGGACCCAGAAACATGAAAGCAGGTCAAAGGTCAAGTTCTCTAGCAAGGGGCACATCCTAAAATAAAGTAAAGGTCATTGCAGCAAGACCAGGAGGTGCACACATCATGTCTGTTCAGATAAGGGTATGTCTGTACGTGCAGTCAGTCTGTCTGTTCGTGCAAAAGGAAGTGTCTATTCGCACAATGTGAGTGTCTGTTCAGGCAGTAAGTGTGTCTGTTCGTCTAAGTTGTGCCTGTCCGAAAGTAAAGCCAATAAACAGAGTCCCAGTTCTGGTCTAAGTCTCAGGGACAGTCCAGATCCAGACATCCAAGTCCAAATCTAGGCCGAGAGGCCTCAGCAGCAGTTGAACTTCATTGGGACAGTACTGGGACACATGCAATGCAGGGTCTGGGACAAAGAAAGGCCTGAAGCAGCCAAATGCAGACCCAGCGAGGAGAGGCCAGCACTATAAAGGAAGCAGCCAGCCTCATTCCTCGCCAGATCTCCACTGGCATTCTGTGCGTGGAAGTGCTGAAGCACTTGTGCGCCAGTCAGTAGGAGCAGCGCTGGAGGATGAAGATGCGCTAAGAAGGAGGAGGAAGATTGTGCGCTGGAAGGGATGCAGCCATAGCTGCCCAGCCAGTTAGTATAGAATTAGAGGGTTAGTAGTAGATAGCTATGAGTAGTATTCAGAGTAGATCCTTGTGAGTGAAGAGTTGTATACATCGTAGGAGAAAGAGACTGAGACAGAGAGTGTGCAATCAAGGTTTGGCTATGAAGGATACTTACCTGAGTTGGATTTGAACTGCAGAGGTGGCGCTGATGAGTGGTGACCACATTGATGACCAGGGTACAATCTGCAGAAGTAGCGCTGATGTATTGAAGTCGCATTGATGAGTCAATGCAGGATCTGCATTATGTTGATAAGCGCTGGACTTGGGGAACTATGAAACTCTTTGTAATCATATTTTTGATAATATAAGTTGTGCAACTCGGTTATCTTCTCATCTATCTTTGTCTAATGTGTGAGACTCTTGATCATTGTGTGCAAGGATGATGCGTGACATGTGCACACTTGCGTGAGATGGTCTTCAGGACCCATGCACGTTTCTGTCGGAATGTCCCAACATCCAATTTCATATTGTCATAGACGGGAAAAAAAAAAAAACCGCCCAGATCTTATCCTCCCTTCCCCCCCCCACATGTGTCTGATCAACTTTGATGGAGTGGAAAGAAATGTACCAAGTGGCGTCTTTGCTTTGGATGGATGAGTAAATTTTACTAACTACTAACTAGTCATTTCTGATGAGTAAATTTTACTAATTATTCATTTCTTTTCTAAGTTACGACAAACTTTGGTTAATCGATGGTTGCATCTTTGCTTTGGATGGATGAGTTATTTGAACTTATTTTGTTTCTAACAAACTCTGGTTAATGGTTGGTTGGTTGTTCTGATGTGAACAGTGAACTTCTACAGAAAGATTTTCGATAAGAATTCTGTGCCAATTGGTCGAAAGATCGAGTACTTTCTCAACACCGGAAACCTCGTGACCAGAACAGGTCTCGACCTTAGTCAGGTATGGCAACTACCGTCATCACCCGAACAGAACGCCCAGTCATTATCGATGTATTTAAACTGGAAGTTGGCCCAAATACAGCTATAATGACCGGGCGTTCTATTCGGGTGAAGACGGTGGCGATTGCGCTCTCAGATTGTTTTGTTGAAGTATGCTCGCATTTGATTGCAACTTGATCCGCACTTGGCTCTTTATTTCAACAGTTCATGAGTGTACCAACTGAGATTCTTGTGCGTCCATTCGTCCAAATTGTTTATGCCTAAACTTACCCTGAAGGGCCTAACGGCACCAGCACATGGCTACCTGGGGTGCGTGGGGCCGACACCTTGAATTCCAGAGGCGCAAAACGATAAAGCGACTGCCGATCCAATATATTAACGGCAGGCCCAGCGTTTGACGTTTCGGTCTCGTTTTCTTGTGGCGACAAGTTTTGGACTGCAAGGCTGGGGCCGTGTACTAGCTGTTGCATACCTGCCGACCGTCGACCCCGACCGCCGACCCCGACCGTCGACCATAGCAGGGTTGCATACCTGCCGACCGTCGACCCCGACCGCCGACTGTATTGCAGCCGACCAGTAGGGGCGACCGGTCGGCGGTCTGACAACCAGTCAGAAAACAACCATCCACTGATTTTGTTTTTTCAAATCTGAGGAGGGGGCTGTACTGTGCTTGCTGAGTACAGCCCACATCCGCTGAGAAACTTTTGGGGATGGGGAGGTTTGGGGG